CTCGGGGTCGGAGGGACGATCTGCTCCCATATGTTGCGGAGTTATTTGGAGAGCAGTAGCATCCGAGCGTTTATTCCTTTTAAGTTAATGAACATGTAAATGAACATAAAAACACTAATAAATAAAAGGCAGATTATATTTTCCTAGTAAATTGAGCATGCGGCTTGTGTGCACTGGAGATTTGATAAGGATGATTAAGTGTAGATAAATACTCAGGGGAGAAAAGTTACTCCTCAGGCAGAGAAGGGTTCCCCTCTCCTCCCCTGCTTCTCCACGTTTACTTTGCAAACTGTCCCCGAAACGGCTGCGTAGCTTTTTACGTAGAGGTACAGGAGCGATGCTAAAAGCCGTGCAGCCGGAGCAGAGCTTTGCCTCTGGGTGTAGCCCCGAAAGCTGGAGAGGCTGTTGGCTTGCTAGGGCAACTCCCATAAATATCCCTGGTCTTAAACAGCAGGGAAGCAAGCGCGAAGGGGAAGAGCTCTTTATAGCGGTGGTGGTCACTGGGTCCGCTCGGGGTTAATGCCTGTGAGGACAGTTCTGGAATGAATTGCGATCTGTGTTTATTTCTTTGCCTTGAATACTGTGTTTTTCCTCTTCAGTGAGAGGCCAGTGTGGTGCCTGCTGCGATGTGTTTACATCTTCTAAACTTCCTTGATAAATGGAAGGGCTTAAAAGTTTGTACATATGTTTGTCTTACATATATGTTCCACAAAGGTGCTTGCAAATCCCTGTGGTTTTCAGGTGGCCATGCCCTCGCGTAAGGCTGTCCTCCCTGCCCCGGGGGCATCGGTCCCACCTGGCTAGGCATATGCCCCACTCGGGCATCCTCCTGCTCCAGCGACCCAAGCGTAAAGCTTTCCTTTCCTACCATTCAACCTAGCAGCTCAAGTTATGAGTATCCATATGGTCTGTAGAAGGCCTCGGGGTTGGTAGCTCACATAACGCAGGCATTTATGTTCCCCTCATCTGGATGCATCCTAGCACCTTCATGCTAGGGTAGGGTCCTGTGCAGGGACCCAGCCAACGGCCTCCCATGTTTTCTTCCATCGTCTCGGTTTACTTCTAAGTAACGTATCTGTACAGGCTCTCTCCTCTCCTTCCTCCTCTTCCCTGGAAAACATGACTAGATACAGTCTCCTTCATCAAGAACCAAACCTTATTACATATTTACTGGCGTTCCTCCTTATTAAAATGCCATCCCTTTCTATTCAGAAGCCATTTTTGCAAGGAATTTGTTAAAACTACCTATTCCTGAGAGACCCACTGACTATTGGGCTCTATTATTATTTTCCCCTAGCCAAGGAAATGCTGAGAGGAATTATCACAGATATCCTCAAATTTGACCAGCAAAGAAGGTGGGGTATAATTTTGCTCTTTCGAGTGTTCTGCATAGTTGTTCACAATGCTGCAAAGTAGCCATGAATCGAATCAGAAATGAACCTGCTAGGCCAGGTTCCCTGATCAGTAGGCACCAGCTAAAGGAGCTGACCTAGCATGTGCAGGTGTAATTGCTTGCATGAGACACAAAAAAGAAGAGAGTTGGTCCTGCTGTGCTTTCCAGTGGCAGGGGACAATGTGCGGGGAAAATAGGTCACTACTGCAGTTATGAGAGCTGGAGCTTGACTTGAATAAAGGGCATACACAGCTGCATGCGACAGTGACAAAAGTTATGTGCGTTTAAAATAAATGAACTATGTGATGAGCCTGGTTCAATGGGTGTTAGCATCCTTCCCATTCTAAAAGGGCAGCTTTGGTACCCACTGCAACTCCAGATGCAGTCATTAAATGCCTTTCCCATTGACCTGCAGGCATTTGGATCCAGCTTTAAGCCATCAAAAATTTAATCAGAAATATCATATCATAACTAAATGGAAAGTGACAAACAGAATTTCAGCAAACACAGATTCCTCCAATATTAACTGTATTTTCCCTTTGCTAGATAACCTCTTCAAACCAAAGGAAAGATTCATTCCAGAGAAAGAGATGCATATGAGATCTAAAAGGTACAGGTCACTTTGGTTTTGAGTTCACTGCGATTCACCCCCCCATTCCCTTTTTCCATGCACCTACTTGCTTTTGCTGCCTCCTTTCCCTTTTGAGCTATTTTCCTGGGCTTTGCTCTGGTGGAGCGGCCCCTGCACTGAAGCGGCAAGCCTGCAGGCACGGTCAGCCTCTAGCAGGAGTACAGTCTTGAGAGGCTTTTTTCATCTGTCTGCGGGGGCTTATCCCTTATTTGGCAAAATTCTCTGCTAAATTCTGTGTTTTCAAATCTATTTATAAGTACATAGTTTATTAGACACCTGTGTTCAACACTTTCAGGTATTGTCACCCCCTAATTTGTCAGCAGTTCCAGATCTGTAATACATAAGTTTGCAGGCTGCAGCCTATCCTGTAAGGAATAGCCAGAAAGGCCACACTCCTTCTATTGTCAAATATTATTCAAGAGCTTTCAGCTGCTCGCTCTTAGTTTTCTGACATTATTGCATCTGTTTCAAACAGACCTGCATAATTTCGTGTTAAGAGTGAAAGCAGGTTTCCTATGTCAGCATTCAAATGAGCAGGGAATCACGATAGAGCTGATTCTGCAGAAGAATCTAGGCCAAGATTTTCAAAAGCTGACTTGCATATTGAAAAATCATTACCTTTTGGGCACCCTATTCTGGCAGCTTCAGCAAGCGCGGGGTGTCCCTGGCATAAAAACTCGGTCCCTGAGAGGTACTTTGTGTTAGACATTCAAAAAAGTAGGCAGTACAGTCACTCTTTTTTGTTGTTTTTTCCATCCTGACTTTGGCATGTGACCTAGGAATTACAGCAAAATATTAGAAATGGAGTGTCTGATCTGTAATTATCTTGCGCTTCAGGCAGTCATTCACAACAAGGAAAAGTGCAAGCGACTGCCCTGCAGAGTTCACCTGGCTGTAAGAGGGGTCAAGATCTTTCCCATTGTTATTCCCCCAAAGACAGTCTCCTGCCCAAGCGCAAGCCGAAACAGGCTGCTTCAAGAACTTGATATTGCAAAATGGTACAAGAAAAAAATCAAAGCTAACACACTTAGGTCAGCGTACGTTGGGCACCTGAGATCAGAGTGTGTACAAAGAACAGGCCCGCTGAGAAGGGAGGTGCTACTTTCTTTTTGAAGCAGTGGGAATTTTGTCATTGGTTTCGATGGAAAAAGATCAGACCAAAAGTCACCTTTGTGAAGGCAACTGGCGTTATTTTTAGAACGAATTGATTATGTTCTTTTTGGTTAAAAAAAAAAAAAATCCGAATGACAGTGGAAAAATGGTACTGCTCTGTAGTCTTATAAAGTTGGTTTTATTATATTTCATAGAAACACCTGAAAATAATAGCTTGATATTAATTTTGTGACATAAATGCAAAAAAGCATGCAGGCCCGATTCTGGTTTATATTATGTTGCTATAAATTGAAACTAACTCCACTGAACTCACTTGAAGCTACTCCAGAATTACACTGCTGTGACTGAGATAACCTGATCCCATCTCTTTCTTTACTTTTTAATTCAAAATTATCAGTGTTTTTCAACACATCAGATTTTTGTAATAACATTATTCTTCATAATCATTAATTCTCATTCCTTAAATCTAATTAAAATATTTATGGATGCCCATTAATGTGATTGAAGGTATATATTTCCTATGAAAAAATAAGTTATCTGTGAGTCCAGGGGACGGTGTGTGAAGTTAACTTTGTAAATTTATTCCAGGATTTATGATAATTTACCTGAGGTAAAAAAGAAACAAGAAGAAAAACAGAAACGGGTAATCATGCAGAGTAACAGATTGCGTGTTGAGATCTTTAAAAAGGTAATGGTTTATTGTGAATGCGAGTAGTAGATTTGTAATCCTTCTTTACTGCATTAGAATATGACCGTATGACCATCAGTCTCTCTCATTAAATCTATTTATTTATTTATCATCAATATTTATACAGTTCTTATTCCCTGTTGCTTCTTCTCAGCCCTCTCAGCAGCACTATGAGATAGGGCAGAAAAAATGAAATAGGGTAAAGTGAAGGAAGCTCTGATACTAAGAACTGCAGTTTTGCAGTGATTACCTTGTTTTCTCACCTCTCTAGAAAAGTCCACAGCCCGCAGCTGGTTGCTGCATGGAGGGCTAGATACCTGCAAATGGGGTCCATAAAGCCAGCACCTTGCCTGGCAAGTCTATGCTAATGAAGTGGATATCCTGAGAGCAAAAGGATGTTTTCTAAATCTTGTCCTTGTCATGGGCTTAGGTACTTCTTTAAACTTGTAGTTCACAGGTGAACCTTTTCCTGGAATAAGCACCTAATACTTTTACTTTTTAAGGATGACTAATTAGTTCTGGTAGAAAGCTGGATTAACACTGTTGATCCACTTCAGACCCGAGGCATTACTAATTAAGCCCTACGTGGTGCCATTGAGATGGAGCAGCTCATTCAAAACTACAGCAGTGATTTCTCTTAAGTGCTATATTCCTCCATGTAAATACACCCTTCATGTCCAAGGTGGCAATGCTTTCATTGCCTAGCCGTGTCACTTAAGTCACTTTTGACTCAAGTTTAAAAGTTTAAATCCCATTTGGGGAATGTAGGCCCACGTGCTGTACTTTTTGAACAACCTCTTGGTGAAGGGTCAGAGTGTGTGGTCAGGCCTCTGTGCTGGGAAGAGCTATTCCAAACTATCAAAAAAAACGCGATACGCGAGGAGGTGCAAAGAGAGAGCAGGCACCCCCTTGCTTGCCCCCGGGAGGAGGCCTTTGAGGTGAGGATAGCGGCGGCAGACTCCGGGCACATCAAAGCCTGTGTTGGGCTGACGGGGCATGGCTGTGGCTTTCAGTTTTCTGTGCTACCCGTGTCAACCCAAAACTTTTCCAACTTGATCCACTACTTTTTGTATTAGAAGGGAAAAAGTCTTCAACCCTTCCCAAACTACCAAATTCTTGATTTTTTTTCCAAACCCTTACCTCTCCCTCAGAATAGCTGGCAAAGCAGAAGAAGTCCTGTTGGAAGAAGGACCTTGGGAAATTTTGAGTAAACGGAGCTGGGAGATTTGAGGTTTGAGACTGCTAAGGCAATCTCACCTATATTATCACAGAAGATTTCTACAGATTTATCCACCTCATGTATTTTAACTGTCTGAAGGGTTTCACATTGTTGTTTTTTTTTCCTAGCAATTACTGGACCAGCTCCTTCAAAGAAACACAGAGTGAGGAAGGACTCTCTTGCTGATCATACTAATTGGACCTTGAATGCCTTTGACTGTTAGATAAGCCATAAAATTTACTGTTATCTTAATTACTCGGAGGTATTCTTCTTATCTTTGGCGCTTTATATAAAGAAATATCATTTGTATTTCAATTGAAATTTAAAAGTAACTTTCAAGTAATCAAAAACAGTCTAAAAGGGAACACAGCTGTTTCAGAGCATCAACTCATGATCAGTTTACCCAGAGGAAATAATTTTAAGAATTTTTAATGCAAATACTGAATTCAGCAGTATTATTTATCTTAATCTTTTTAAAAGTATACATCTCCGTAGCAGTAGAGCTGGCTTTATAAGACCTGGGAAACTTATTTCTCCAAAGTATTCGATTAATTGATTTCCTGTGAGTTAAATTCTTGAACTAAAGAAAAATGAACATCATTATTTGTTATGTTTAGAAACTAGCTGAAATAGCATTACCACATAATCATGGCAACAGCAGTTTCACATTAATACTTAACATACCAAAAGGGACCAATATTTTAGCTCTGAGAAGAACTCTATTCCTAGTTATATAGCGTATCTATATAGCAAGTTTACCTGTTAAAGAGCAATATTTAAAAATTTGGTTATAACGCTTTTTCATGTGTTTTTCATTGTAATATGTATTTTACTCAACTTCTGTGATCATTAAGTATTTATAGGAATGGCATATTAAGAAGTGGTGCCAAGAAGTATGTTTGTATCAAAATTGCACAACTAAAACCATCTGTAAAAAATATTTAAATCTTTATTTGTACATTTTGGAAGTAAAAACAACCAGCTTACAAACCAATGGAATGTATTTATGGAATAAAATATGAATATAATATTGATCCAACTGCTACATTTTTATTTGATACTGTTAAATACAACACAATTATTTAAACTGTCGGAGAAGTCATGCCTTTGTATAAATAGAAGTCTTCACTTTGCCACAAATCCTATGGTAGAAAATATTGCCCATAAAAATCATTGCAGTTGTTAACCTCTGTTGCAGGAACACTTAATTTCAGTCTGTTTGAGATTGGAATTTGGCCTTTGGTATCTATGCTTTGTTTTTCTAATCTAGACTGAGATGTAAGGTCAGATTTTCTGGAAGAGTGATGTTTGTGAGCAGAGCATTGGTCACTTAGATAGCCTCCAGCTGTGTGACCTGTACTGGACACAAAGAGCCTGGCTCTATTTAGTGCCATTATTGTCTCTGTTAAATTACTTCGCTTCATTGTGTATCAGCTTCCCAGTCTGTAAAATGGGATTAATGTTGTTATTTTTTTCTCACAGAGAAGATATTTATTGAACAAACATATTGCATTCTAGAAAGATATATTTACATACTCAGTAATTCATTAAATAGGTTTCAAGGGGACGACGTTTCAGGTAAGGTAATGCTGACCGTGAGAGAGAAAGTGCCAGGGCTTTTTCCCCAAAAAACTCTTTTTAACCAGGTAGGTAATGCTATACAGGGCACTCGAGTGAGGGCTGGACAATAGGTGGCACCAAGGAGAAGAGCTTCTGAAAGGGACTGCAGCATCTTCCCAGCTTCCCAGCATAGCTGCTTGCTTGTTCTGTTCTTTTTCAGGTTCATTGATCCCTCTCACTGCTCTCCCCAAAAAGTGTTTGGCCTGCTTCAAACAGCAGGGCCTTCTTCTCTCTGGTGCACATCTCTGTCTCATCACATAGTGATAAATTTTAGCAGAAAATACACCCACACACATGGTCTCCTAGACTGAATCTGAAGCATGAGCTTTTTTCCAGTTACAGCTCACGACAGCAACTAAGATGTTTCCCTTGGAAAGTAGTGTCAAAATCCCATTTGATTTCAGTAGGAACCTAATATTTTTACCCCTTGGTTCCTTAACCTGTGGTTTCTTGACTTCTTCAGAGTAATGAAGGAGCCATAGGAGACTATGGCTCCTCAAGTCTGTACCCTGCAGAAGCATTATTTCCTGCACATATCCAGAGGGGAATACCATATACCTTTAAGCCTGCTTATATTCTTTGCCTAGAGCCACAGCAATTCATTCTGGTATGGAGGAGAGGGTGTCTCTCTGCCTGCCTGGGAAAACCACAGAGATGAGCTTATGCGCTCTCATACTCAGCCCTAAGCACCTCTGCAGCGCTGATGGCCAGAGGGAAGACCCACAGGAATGAGTCCCCCTTAGAGAGCAATGCACTCAGGTCTGAAATGAAGGATGAGAGCAAGGGAGATGGAGGGCACAGGGTTGGTATGACATGGCTCAGCTTATTTCCTGCCATTTGGCACTCCTCTGTGAGTCGTGCCTGGGGCGCACTTCTTCTCTGCCGCCTGTTGGTCTCCTCCAGTTTCTGCTGCTGGCAATCACCAGCGCCAGGATGCAGTGCTGCCTTGACACATCCTTGCTTCACCTGACTCATGAACAACTCTGCCTTCTGACATACTTAAAGCCAGTGAACTATTCACCAAATCTTTTGGCTTTGCAGAAGTCACATTTCCAAATGTTTTTATTTTCTCTAAATGTGGTTTTCTAAGGACAAATATGTGGCAATTTGAAGTGAAAATCGTTTCATGAAAAGAAGCTTGGGAGTATACTTAGCAAAATGCCTAGCACAAATCACTGTCTGGGAATGTTTTATACAATATGAGACCTTTGCTTTAAGAAAACAAAAATGTTCTCTGTTGCAAACCTAATTTATCTTTCTGGGCCTCTGAAAAGAGGATATCTGATAATGCATCCAGCAAACAATTCAAACATTCATTTCAGCGCTACAATCAAGTCATTGTAATAGCAAATAGATGGTACAGGAAAATGTGCTTCAGAAAAGTAAGGTTTAGCCCTCGACGGGTAGGCATCAACTTAGTCAAGTTTAGACTTCAGAACAAAACTGGCACAACTGCACTTTGAACTTGCAGGCATTTGAAAATAAAGGGTACCTTTGCCGTTAGACAGTATTCTACGCAGAAAACTCGCGGGCCTAAACTTGAAATCACCCCCAATTGTTAAATACTGGAATTTTTCTTCTCTTTGGATACAGCTCAGAGTACTAGTTCACTATCCATAGGGCCATGCCCAGGTCTTCAGCCAGATTTTACACCTGAAAAAACTACACAAAGATTAACGTTTCTGGTAAGAGGCATTGCCACGTGTTCCTCAGTTCTGAAGGTCTGTTGTCGCTTTTCTCAGTGCTAGTGTGCCCACAGAAAAGCCTTTAATGATGGAGCATCGTTCTGTGGGAGAAGCACTGATGGTTTCTGAGCATTTTGCGGTGCTTGAGTTGGTGTCGCCGTGCTGAGGCACACCCCACCCTGGATCTACACATCATCCTCTTTCCTAAATAAAAAGCCTCTAAGTAGGTTTGAGTTTTTCTGCTGCTCAAAGTGGAGCCTACAGGGGAGCTCAGTGGTTTTGGTGTGCAAGATACAGTTTTTGTTAGATTGCTGGCATCATTAATTTTATCTGACAGCATTACATCATCAAGGGGCAAAAATCATTCTAACATATGGCACTGATGGTTACAGTATTCGGGGGATGTATTTTAAACCCAGGTATTTTCTTGTGTACGTCTATGCATGCCATTAGTTATTTATTAGAGTTTTCCCAGCTGATCAGGCATATCAGGTGACTAGGTAAGATGACTTGTTACAAATTTCGTTGGAGTATCTGAGACTAGTCATGTTAGTGTAATGTTTTCTATGCGAGATCTGATTTACAAGGAAAACAACATGGAAAAGCAGGGATGAGGTTTCCTTTCTTCAGAGGAATCCCTCCCCTGCCACATCAGCTGCAGTAAGATCTCAGCGGCTAAAAATACCACAGCTTGCCTCTCCCGTAGACATGTTTGCCCTCCTGAGTAAAAGACAAGTAGAAGCCAGCAGCATGGACTAAAATGCAGGAAGGACACCTGGGCATAAAAATACAGAATAAATACATATTCAAAATCTTTCCAATATACTGTAGTTAAAGAAGATCAGTATATGTATAAAAGTGCATATAAAGCTGTAACCTTTGATTTAAATGTGCAGCTACCATGGAAGTCACAAAATCCAAATCCTTCTGAAGGGAGACCGGGCAGCGTGGATTGTTCTCTTGGGCTACAACACTCGTAGGTAACGGTGCATGTGCTTCTGCTTTCTGAATGAAACCTATTTGCCAACCTAATGATCTGGAAGTGTTTTTGGAGACCGTGATTTTTATCTCTAGCTCTGTCTCCTTAGCTACGACAAAACTGTTGGAAGAAGTGTGCCGTGTGAGAACAGACTTGCTCTCTGTTGAGAATAAAACATATCCTATCTTTTAAGTCAAGCATCTTACTTTTCCTAGTTCTCCTTGGCTCTTTACCAAAGCTGTAGGAGGTAGAATTACTTAATATCCATTTTAGATGACCCATAGAATGAGATAATGAGGTGTATCATCTGCCTAGCAGCTGCAGAATGATAAAAAAGAGGGAACAGTACAAATGTGCTGCTCATGGTACACACAAATATATAAAATTAGTAAATAGAAAAAGTGGAATAAACTGCTTAAGGGTCCTTGTCGCATAGATAGGAATATAAAAAAGAATCCCTAATTGCAGAGATTTATTTTAGAAACCAATCACAGTGATGTACTCTTAGACTTTTCATGTTTTACATGCTTTTATCTTCAACAGTATCTTACAATGACTAGATGTGAGTTCATATGTAACTGTAGGAGCTCTTGCAGCTTTGGAAGTTGTGGCTGAAGAAGGGGGAGACTTTCGTTGTTGTTTATTTCACACTTCTGTTCCTTTGTAGAACTTGGTGTTCACTGGACTACGTGAGCACTTTGTATCCCCTTGTGGGGCGATACGGGGAAATTGTGTAAAGACGGTGACAAAAGGGTGGTCGCTGGATGGTGTTCAGGCTGGGTTTGGACTTACCACAAGATTACCTGATAATGGTGTCTGCAAGAAAGGTCTCCCAGCAACCATTCTGCTGAATAGTAATATATAAATATGGCCAGGAAGTTAAAAAAAAAATGTATTCAAGACAGAAAACAGAAGAAGTCTGCTTTTGTTACTGATATGTGCTCTGAAATTGTGTCATCCGCAAGCAGCTTGGGGACTACCTGCCCCAGGCTGTGCCATTAATGGCTGTAAAGCAGGGCATTTAAAATACACACACATTCCCCCCACCCACCCACTGACAGCAGCATGGTCCTCAACAGCGTTTTAGTGATGACAGTGAAAGGGAATTACCAGCGTATCCTATGCTGCTGATTTATAGAGAAATAAAACACTACTTAAATATTATATCCATGTTAGTTCTTTGTGACTAATGTTATTACAATGAATACCAAAGGAATTAGTAATGAATACCCACTTACTGTAACGTGTCGCCAAATATATACTTTACTTGTAATGCTACTGAGAGCACATATATAATTTTTGTGTTTGTTATTATGTAAAAATATAACTCTGAGGGCTGGCTGGTCTAAATCTAATTATATAATGGCATAAGTTAAATCGCATGAAAGATATATAATTATGGGTTGGCTGTTCTCTCTAATACTATCAGCTGATGTTACAAAGCCAACATTTTACTTCCATTTGTTTTAGTTTTGCGAGATTTCACTTGCTGTGTCTGTGACCCCGAGCAGATGAAAGTTTTGCATCAGAATCCAACAATCAGAAAAAGCCTATAAGAAAAGCAACTCCATTTCACTCTTCCTTTCATACCTGATGTGAGATTGGGACGTAATTGATGTAATGCTCCCCTATATATACCTCAGTATGACTGATTTCTTTCAATCTTCCCACTGAGAATATTTTTTTTCTCTAAAAAACGCCCGGAAATATGCTCTCTGCCTAATTGACTGCCCAGTGTTT